CCATCCATCCATCCATCCATCCATCCATCCATCCATCCATCCATCCTCCTAAGACCTGGACTCTTGCATATGTGGATGCCAGGTCCTAGGAGGTTAAATATGAATGTTTCTGTTCAGAGCCCTGAGATGACTTCTGTTGTCACTTGGCACTATATAAAAAAACTGAATTGAATTGGATGTTGGCTTGAATAAATCACCTCTGGATCACTCGCACAAACCATGCAGAGCAGGTTTGTAAAAAATATGAACGCACAGCCCCAGTCCTGGCTTCCTGTCCACTTCCAAACTGATTTTAAGATCCGTTTGCTTCTAAAGTTTTAAAAGGTTTTTGACTCCACCATACTTACTTATTTAGGCTGAAGATCCTGGGTTCAATCTTCTGTTTAGACCGGGGGGTCTTTCTGTATGGAGTTAGCATGTTTTCCTCATGTTTGCGTGGGTTTTCTCCTGGTACTCCTGTTCCTCTCTGAGTCCAAAAATATCCATGTTAGGCTGCCTACAGGTCCAGACGTCTCCTGCAAGAGAGATCTGTGACACCAGTGGGATTTGCCTGGTTAAATTAAGGTTAATAATAATAATAATAATGATAATAATGATGATAATAATGATGATGATAATATGAATAATAGCAACAATAATAATAAAAAAATATTTTCTTAACACCTACACTCCAGTAAGAGCAACCAACCAGTTCCTCTTAGATGTCCCTAGATCCAAACTGAAGTCCAGAGGTGATTGAGATTTTGTACTTGCTGCATTTTTTTATTTTTTACTTTTTATTTCTTTGATTCAGGCAGAGTTTGAGGTTTAATTCGAGCTGATGGCTTTTATATTGTGTTTCTGTCTCTTAACTTGTTTCGTAAATGTCACAAGTGGGCTTGTATTTTCTTGTTCTGATGTTAGGTTTACATTTTTATTTGACTGAACTGTAAAGCACTTTGGTTGACTTATGTTGTTTTTAATGTGGTATACATTGACATCTTAAAGTCTAGTCTGAATATTTGAAAAAGGCTTTCAGTATTTGAGATGCTGTAAAACAAAACGCGGCGTTGTAAGCCTCTTTGGTGGCAAATTCATAAGAAATAATGTTTATCCTGAACTAGTACACCTTTGGATTTATTGTATGTTAATAAAGCTGTTTTGTAAAAACCCAGATGACTGTGTAGAATGGCTACAATAATTATAAAGTTTTAAATAAAAGAATCGCTGGAAATAAAAGTAACTTTCAGTATCTGGTGTAAGAGCTATGATGCACCTCGGTAAACAAATTTATTTAGATTTAACCTATGTGGGTTTACACATCTGACCGAACACTGGAAGATGAAATGATTCTGGCTCCACTGCTGAAACTTGCGGATCATTTTTCTTGTGTCCTCAGTGTTTCCTGGCATGTCATAAACGCTGTCTGGAGACTCTGGCCATCCAGTGTGGTCACAAGAAGCTGCAGGGCCGCCTGCAGCTGTTCGGTCGAGACTTCTCTCAGGTAGCCAGCTGTGCCAGTGACGGCATCCCCTTCATCATCACCAAGTGCATCTCTGAAATAGAGAGGCGTGCGCTCAAGATGAAGGTGAGATGATCCATTTTTATGTTGTTTTAAGAGGCCCTGACGTTGAGTTTCAGGTGTAAACCCCTGGTTGTCCCTCTCAGGGAATCTACAGAGTAAATGGGGTGAAGACTCGTGTGGAGAAACTGTGTCAGGCCTTTGAGAACGGGAAGGAACTGGTGGAGCTGTCTCAGTGTTCGCCGCACGACATCAGCAACGTCCTCAAGCTTTATCTAAGACAGGTACAGAAAACAGCGTTTTGTGCTTTACCGTGAAAGTTGGGCAGTTGTGTAACTGTCTGTTTGTTAGCGAAACAGTTCATGAACTACTGGACAGATGTTCATTGAACTAAAATAAAAAAACAACAATTCTTGGATTCTACGTACAGCTGATCTAAATTTTGAAGTCAACCTGATTCGACATGGCCCACTCAAGTATTCAATGTCAGTCGACACGTAAAAGGGTTTAATTTTGCAGATACGGTGCATTAATTTGGTGTGGTAGTAGCTGAGAGTCATCCCCAAATCTGAGTGCTGACAGCACAAAACGTTTAGTTTAAAATTGCATGCAAAGCTGCAGGAGGTATGCACATCTTTAAGGAGTGCTCCTTTCATTGATTAAAGTCCCATGATTATGAACTCTTACATTTTCCTGTTTCAACACGTTTACCTCAAATCAGATGTCTGACTCGTGGAAAAAGATCATCTGGCATTATTTACATGAAAATACCATGCCACTTTATTTCTAAAGCACTTAAAACAACAACAAGGCCAACAGCAGAAACAAAACGAGCAAAGGACACAGGATAAAATACATAGATCCACAGAGGTAAAGATTAAAAACTAAATGGCTAACATTATAGAATATAGACAAGTTAAAATCAAATCGCACAATTTCAAAAACCAGGGAATAAACGTGGGTTTTTGAACTCGACTTAAAAACAGTGAGCGAGGGAGCCTGCCTGACGTGCAGTGGTAACTCATTCCACAGTTTTGGACCTGCAACAGAGAAGACCCTGTCACCTCTGAACTTAAAACGGGTGCCTTGAACCAATAAAATCATCTGGTCTGCTGACCTCGGAGAGCGCTGTGGGACATATGGCTGCAGCAGATCAGTGAGATAAGAGGGAGCTGAACTGTTCAGAGATTTAAAAACATACAGAAGGATTTTAAAATGAATTTGAAATTGAACCGGGAGCCAGTGAAGGGAGGCCAGAACTGGAGCAATGTGCTCTTTGATACTGTATGTTCTGCTCTTGTCTATCTACAAAATGGTCCTAACTCATGGAGCTGTGTACTTCATTGGACCTCCTATGGTCTGCTGTGGTGTCACACACCAGTCCATCAGGTGAACCGTTTCAGTTCAGTCTGTTTTAAAAGTGGTTCCTTAATCAGACCATTTTGTCCAGATGCCCAGATGCCTGATTGGACTGAGGTCAGTTTGGAGACCAGTTTAATGAGTTATTTGCCTGAATCAACCAATTTTAGTTTCCTAAACCAGTTTCAGTGTGACAAACTGGGATTCCACTGAATCAGCCCTCGGGTTAGGCGTGGACATTTGGTTTGCAACAAGGTTTGGGAAGGAAGGTGTTTGTCAAAGTAATGCCCATGTGACCGACGGAGCCCAGCCTAAAGCATCACACCACCATCGCTTGTTTTAATCATCTGATGCCGATCCTCACATGACATGGCGATTCAAACGGTGTAAAATAAATAATGATGAGGCCACTTCCTTCCTGTGTTTTGAGTTTCAGTGTTGGTGCTCATCATTGGTGGGTTTGGACAAAAGCCCTCATGGGATGATCAAAGTTTTCAGCTGCTCGTGTTTATACTCTCATGGCCGACATGTAACTTGATCAAAGTCGCTTTAGATAAACTCTTCTGTTTTGGATGACCTGTGAGAAAATGAACTTTTTTTTTTTTTGAATGCTAATTACATAAACATATTTATGTATTTTTGAAAAAGCAAATGTATTTTTGTATTTCCAAAGAATTTTCTGACATGTACAACCTGTTTATTTCATTTCCTGCAGCTGCCTGAGCCCATCATGCCTTTCCGTCTGTACAACAGGCTGATGGGCTTGGCCAAAGAGAGTCTGCAGGGAGAGGGGGAGGAGGCCGACTCCAGTTCCACTAACCCAGCTGCGGTCAGGGGTCCCGAGCTGGTGGACTTGGGCCCTGATACCGACCCAGAGGTCCTGGTCTTGGTGGGCAGTCTCAAAGAGGTCCTTAAGGAGCTTCCCAAAGCTAACTTGGCTACGCTTCGCTACATCATTCGGCACCTTCGAAGGTCGGTGACTTTCCTCGTTTCACTGGTAATAATACACTGTATTCAGGTGTTGAGCTGCCCTCTCTTTTTGTTTTCGTTGTTCTCAACCCAGGATCGCAGAGCTGGAGGAAGATAACAAAATGAGTCCCAGTAACTTGGGGATCGTGTTTGGGCCCTCTTTGATGAGGCCTCGTCCAACCGGAGCCACAATATCCCTGTCCTCTCTTGTTGATTACCCCCATCAGGCCCGTGTTGTGGAGGCCCTCATAGTCTTCTACTCATCTGTCTTCCAGTCCAAAACCTCTCAGTCCAACAAAACGTCCCGCTCTGCATCCAGCTTCACTCAGCAGGTACACACCGTGGGCATTACTAATTAAAACGGTAACCTTAAGTTACTAAACACTGCAGAAGAATTCAAGAAAAAAAGACATATACTGTTGTGACAGTTAACAATATTAAATACTGGATCAATCTGTCCATTTATTGTACTTTTATCTGGTCTCATAATACTCATATTTTTCCCTAAATGAAAATTGGACACTTGCTACGTTAATCAGTATAGTATATAGTATTGAGCATGGACTGTTTGTATAAAGAAATGAAAACTGATAACTTGTGAACAGTTGGGGTTTGTCTCCCTGATTTGATCACACAAACCGTTTTAACACGCAGGGAGTGAAGAGGCTTATAGTATTTTCCTAATGCGTTTTCCTTTGTGCTCTTTCAGGACAGTACCACACGTGAGAAGATGGGCAGTGTTGGTGATGAAGATGACGGCAGCAGACGCGAGCAGAACAAACCGGACTCTGACAAGCCGGAGGATGGATGTGGTACGTATTCAATGAGGCAAAAATACTGCTGAGAACTAAGTAGCTTGCTTTAAATGTTCACTTTTTAAAGGTCTGAGGATTACAAATATGTTTCTTCCCATTTAGGAAGTTCTTTAGGCTCATTGGGTTCCAGCGAGCAGCTCCCTGATTCGGACTCGGAGCTAGACGAGATGGGCCAAAGACCCTTAAGCCTGGTGAAGCAGGAGAGTGAGGCGAGCATGGACGAATACCAGCTGAGCTTCAGGGACAGCCTGGACCTGTCCGGTCAGACGGCTACTCACACAGACCTTGAGCAGGATGCAGAACAGGACCACAGCCCAGAGGGAGAAGGGCCACCCGCTCTGCCGGACAGCGGGCCTCCAGACGAAGCAGCAGTCGAGCAGGAAGTGACGACCTCTCTCGCAGAGCTCAATGTAAACCAATCCAATAATAATAAAGCCTCTTCTCCTGTATCAAGCCTGTCTGGTGTCCCACTGACCTGCCTGTGTGGGAAGAATTTACCCCTGACAAGAAACCGGGACACTGAGCCTGAATTTGTCTAAGGTCGTGATCAAAGTGTTTGTGTAGTCTGATGGGACTGAATGTGGGTTTATACGTTTAAGGTCTAAAAGTGAGAAGGTATTTTTGTGCATCAAGACTGAACTTTGAAGCCTCTGTACACTTAATGCTGTTTGATGCAATTAACCTAGTTGGGTTTTTTTTTTTTTTTTTAGTTTTGTCTTTTGTATTTTTCTTGTAAGTGTTAATGGTCCCACCAGTCTACAAACTTTAAGTGCTGCTGGTTTTTATTTCAACCTGAGTTTTTAAATTCAGCAGTTTCTAATGTCTCCTGTACTCGTGGGTGTTGGAACTATTTTAATAAATTCATTAGTCTAAAATTGTTTAATTTTAAGTGTTCTGTTTCCATTGTAAAAAGTGCACAAAAGTTGTCAAGGGGGAAAATAAATCAGATTAATTCTGGGAACTTCAACCTGCCTCTTAAAAAAAAACAAGCTGTGACCCCCGTCACTGAAGGATTTGAATAGTGAACGTTTGTAGTTTGAGACGAGTGTTTTTCTGAATGAACTGATCACAGAATAACCGTAAACATTAAAGTTCATGGGGCAAAATATTCAAGTGGGGAGGAGTTGCACTGTAGAAGAACAGAGGTGTTTTTTTGTCTTTTTGCTTGTTCGTTGTTGCAGCGATGGCTCCTGGTGAGCAGAGGGAGATGTTTTATCTTCCACCAGGAGCAACGGCAGAGCCGGTGGTGGTGGGGGGTCCCCAGAGATTGATCTTCAGACACTCCAGTCATTTAAGGAAACTACAGGTGCATCTCAAAATATTACGAATATTTTGAAAAAGTTAATTATTTTTGTCAACATTTCAGAAAGTGAAACTTATAGATTTTTATAGTGAATTATTTCAAGCGTTTATTACAATTTTGATGATTATGACTTATAAATAATGAAAAACCAAAACTCAATCTCAGAAGATTAGAACATTGTGAAGAAGTTCAATATTGTGAGCTGGTGTCAACCTATTCAGCTGATTAACTCCTAGACATGAGCTATAAATGTTTCAGTACTGAATATGTCGGAAGTGTCTTACATCAGCAGTTCTCATAAAGTAAGGTTGTTTTATGATTTAAAATCTAGTTTTATTTAAAACTGAACCCAATGGTGGGCCAAACTGAACACTCATGGGCCTGATTTGGCCCCTGGACCACCACTTGAGTAGCCCTGGTCTAGAGGAAGAGTGGAGAGGCCCAAAATCCATGTTGCTTGAAGTCCAGTGTGAAGTTTCTAGTAAGTGATGGTTTCAGTTCCTATCTGCTGGTGTTGGTCCACTAGGTACCAAAAAGATGGTTATGACATACTCCAATTGTCTGAGACATCCAGTTTTGTTTTTTTGTTATTTGTAAGCCATAATCATCAAAATCACAAGAAATAAAGGCTTGAAATATTTCAGTGTGTAAAGAATCTGTAATATACGAGTTGCACATTCTGAAATGATGGACACGAAATATTGAACTTTTTAATATTATTTTTTTTTTAGATTGGTTTACTTTTAAACTATAGAAAAAATGTTTCTTTAAATGAATGGGGTGGCTGGTTTACATATACATAAATGACGGTGACCATCTTGGATTTTGACGTAGCAACACAATTTTCAATAGTGATCATTCTTACACCCAGATGCAGCCACACACCAAAATAGAAAAAGTTATCCAGCTCACACGAGTCGGACAGACGGCATTTCCAATTCCCCTTTTTGCTCCGTGATGGGGGACAAAAAGATAAGCTCGCACAACCTTTACATGCTGATTTACACAAGACAAACTGTTCTTCACTGCTTTAAGTAAAAAAAAAAACATTTTATTTTTACTTTACTTTACAAAAGCAGGGATTACAAGAAAGATTAGAATCTGAACAAAAAAACAAAGCAGATCGAGGATCCATAGATGAGTGAAAACTGAACTTCACTCGTCCTAAATGTTGATGCAGGGCTAGAAAAAAAAAGGAAACGTTTTTAAAATCTGCATCCCTTTTTAGTAACTACAGGACAAATATTGAAATCTAACCAGGAAAAAAGTTCAAAAGTCCACTTCAAGAATGCTAAAAATACTTTTACATTAATTAGCACAGATTAATATGTGGTTCTGAGCTTAATAAGAAACATTTCCAACCAGTACCTGTGTCACTGGACCAGTCTGTAAGTGATGTACCTTCCAGCAGTTTCACTGGGTCTGATGATCTTCACTACCTACAAAAATCCATAAAACACAGTTGAACCTCTGTCAAACCCTGCCTACAATGGTGTGTTCAACAAACTCTTAAATGTATGAATGCATAATGTAATTGCCAGTTTGTGTGTGTCTGTTAGCAAATGATCCGGTGAATCAGAGGGAGAACTCTTTACAAAATAACATTGGAGGGACTCATATGATGTTGTGAGATGTTACACTCTGTATGTGTTGTGATTAATTCTCAGCTACCACCACATTCAATTTTAGCCAAATATCTGTCAAATTGAGTTACAGCAGTCCCTCGATACTTGGCGGTTCGACATTCACGGACACACTGTTTTGTGGGTTTTCAACCTAAGATTGTACACGACACACGGTTGTCAACTTTAATATTACTCACGTGATTGGGACGGTACAAGATAAAAAGTTAAAGGGGGTGGTCGGGAGCGGGAACCAATCAATAGAAAAAAATAAATAAATAAAAATAAAAAACTTTGGACAGGTGCGCCCTTTTTGTAGTTTTCTTTCAATAGGCCTACACTGGAATGCAAGTCAAAAGAACTACACTACCCACAAGCTAACAGTGCTTCCAGACGTTGCTTTCTGCCAAAATTCAAAGAAAAGCAATGGAGGGAGCAAACACTGGTGGAGAAACCGATGTGGTAAAAAATAGTTTTACAACGCAAAGTCAGAAGTAACGACCTATCTGCTGAGCTCACACAAGTGGCAGGAAAGTGGCAAATATTCCTGAAGCTGAACTCATCCTTCAAGTTGTAGTATCTTCACTGGTGAGTATATAACATTTTGCAGTACTGTTCAGTACATTTAAGTTTGTTAAAATTACATAGGTTTAAGAGTTTAGAACATTGTTAAGAACACTGCAAGAGTATGGGAAGGTTATTTATATAGAACATCCCTACTTCACAGATTATCACCCATCATGGGGGTGTCTGGAACGTAACCCCCGCGATACCTGAGGGTCTACTGTATGTGTAAAATTGAGTTATAGCCTTTTTTGTAGTACATAATGTCCCCTACTTGATCCACTTTTAAATGCCAGTGCAGCTTTTCTGTGTTAAACCCATTTAATGTCCGTTTGTCTTACCTGTCCTCTTTTCAAGCCAAAATAGCGAGCCACAGGGTCTCCAGCCTGGATCCTGGGTAACTGACTTTCCTTCAATTTACTAAAATCAACAAGTTAAGGACGACATAATTTTTAATGTATGACAGACAATGCTCTTGTACAGCATCCTGAGACAACTTCTGTTGTGACTTGGTGCTACATAAACAAACTGAATTGAACAAAAGCATGAACGTCCAACATAAAGTTTCAACTCAGCATCTATACAGCTCAGAGCAGTGCTGACAAAGATACTATCTTGCTAGAAGTTCCGTCACTTCCTCTTTCGTCATGACAATGTGCTCAGGTACAAGCTGAAAGTGGAGAGAGCGGTGTAAGAGCCATTGTTTGTGGTTCGTTTAATAAAGCAGAGGACGCCATGCTTACCTCGTGCTCTGTGATGTTAATAAGCAGCTCTTGCTGTAGAAACTGCTCCAAAATGTACTTAGGTGCCATGTCCACCAAAGACTGTCAGATAGTTCAGGTAAAATTATCAGACAAGCGTTCAGGTCAGGAGTAAAGCATCACTACAGGTGTTCTTCTTTTTTTTCTATTTCAACTGTGCAAAAATTTTATCAAAACATTGTTGACCTGTTTTGCTGAAGGTGTCATGCCCATCTGAACAACAATGATGGCTCTAGTGATGTTCTCCTCCTGCATCCTCTGACAGTACATCTTGATAGTCTTGATCCCCACTTTAGGCTCCTCTGATAGAGAACACACACACAAACCAGTTTTAATAACTTTTTCTCTAAAATAAAAACATATGCATGCCCTAACTTTAATTATTTGATTATTTCTATAAATGCATGGTGTCTAAAGCACTGAGCAAACATCGAGCCTAAGTTATCTGCTGCCGAAGACAATGTTTATGTCTATCTTTGAATATATCTTTAACAAAACATGTCATGACCCACTGAATAAATTTTAATTAAACTGTCAAAGTAATTATATATAATTAACTTTTGGCAACAACCCAATTCAAGATGGCCACCACAGCTAAGTGACCTTAGCAAACACAAAAATGGCTGTAACTCAGCCAGTTTTACAAACACCTAGCTAAAATTTGGTGTTATTAGCTGACACACAAGCTCAATACCACTAGATCACTCATAAAGACATTTACAAGGTTTGACCAAAACAGCTATAACTGTCCAAAAATATGTCAACTTTTTGTAGATTAAGCTGAAAAGTATATGAACTTTTTTAACGTATTATAGATGTCTAAAGATACCATTTTAGTCATGGTTCTTCACTAAGCTCCTTATTTGTTGACCGAAGCGCTGGCTCATTGTTTATGTTTATGTCACTTTTAATTCTTGAATGATGTATAGTAGAGATGCACCTGGAAATATGCTGATGATCAATACAGGAAAATATTAAGATGCTCAAAAATCATCTATTTTTGGGGCTTAAATACATCAGCGAGCTGCAGCAGTTCAGCTCCATTTGAAAGGAAAGTTTTGACTGAGTGCAGAAAACATGACGTTAGCTGTATAGACTGCAGGATAGAAGGAAACAGCATTTTCTACAGGGGGATATTTTCTGCTGTTCACCATGACAGTCAACTACAGCTTTGTTTTTTAAATTTGTATTTGTCATAAAACATGGTGGTTAAGAATATGTGAGCAGCTTTTTGAGATGGGAACACTTCCATCTGAGGTTGGCACAGTCACTGTCACTTTTAATGAATCTAATGACCCTAAAATCATGCTAGACACTAAAATCTACTGAGGCCGGAACAGCGGAGCAGTGAGAGCTGTCTCCTCACAGCAAGATGATCATATTATTATATTATATATATTATATTACTGAACATGCATCAGGATAAGATGATCATAGGTTCAAAACTCAGCTGGAGCCTTTCTGTGTGGAGTCTCCCTATGAACGTGTGGGTTTTCTCTGGTTTCCTTCCACAGAGCAAAAACATGCACAACTGGAAACTCTAAATTGTCACTTGCTGTGACTACTTGTCTCATTTGTCTCTATGTGACCCTGTGATGGACTGGTGATCTGTCGAAGGTGTCCCCTGCTTCTTGTACCTTGGAGACAGGTACCAGCCTACTATCACACTGCACAGAAAAGCAGGTAAAAAAAAATGGATGAACGACTACCAGTATATTGTTTTCTGCTAACTGCAGTTCTTTGAAAGAATTCAGTATAGGAAAATATAAAATATATAAAATGTAAAAAAAAAATGTTATTGGTCCACTAAACCAGAATGGATTCACTCTCAGCTACTTCACTCACTCACTTCACTCTCAGAATTAATTTTATATTTTACATGCAACGTAGCTTAACAAATAAACAACACACGCTAAAAATGATTAGGTTTCAAGACTGGGCTGAAAATAAAACAATCTGAAAACATTGAAAGATCTGGAAAACGCTGAAAGATAAAGAGTTGCTCATAATACTTTCAGTAAAGGAAACAAGCAAACATACCGGGAAAGAAAACAAACATTTGGTCAGTGGGGTCGTCATTGTGTGCCACCAGCACTGTAAGATCTGTGCGCCTGGGACGACCTTCACTTGGTTTGTCTCCAAATTGACTCTTGAACTCGTCCAGAGTCTGGTCCAATTCATCCTGGGTCACCAGATAGCCTCGATCGTGGCAGAGCTGTGAACATCAAAATCAGACAATGAAGTTATATAGTTTTTTTCTAAAGTAACATTAGTCCTACTGAATGTATTCAAGAAAGTGGGTGGAAACTGGGTAAGTTCCCTGAGTTTAGGGAAACTTGGACTTTTCCATTCCAGAAAGAGAAGTTAGTGAAACTCCACAGGCTACTTATAGTCTGTGAAGTAAACCTGTTAGCTGGCGGGTTATACTGAAGGATTCTCTGTTTCTATCTGTTCCAAATCACATTCATCTGGCCCGTTTTATTCCCTGCAACTACAAATATAATCGTTATGGTTTGTTCAACTGTTCCATCATTCACCTGAATAAATTCACCTGTTCCTGTAAAATTTCTAGGTCTGAAATCCAAATCAATAACTTGCTACTGTTTTTAAAATAGTTTTGATGAGAAGCTGAGTACATAAATATTTTACTGGATTTATGTGCTGTAGATATGAATGTATTAATTATATATTTCTCAATAATTAATAATCCTGAGAGAGAAAATTTGGAGCCTATTTGTGTTTGTATACAAATAGAAACATCTGGACAGAAAAGGGTAGGTTTGTGAAATCTAATTTTTTTGTTTGTTTGTTTTTTACACTTTTCTGAAGAGTGAGGTAGGGAGTGGTTTCCAAAGTTGGGACTGGGACTGCGTTGTGGTTCAAGAAACCCAAAGTTAAATGTGGAAGGGTGGGGTTTTTGGAAAATCAACGAAAAATTAAATAAAATGTAAAATGTTTGCATAAAATATAAACCGTTTTAACCATTACAGAAAGATTTTTTTTTAAAAAAGTAGTCATAAAGTGACAAATGATTGTAAAATACTTGATGAGGCTCTGTTTAATAGCTCATTAGTAAACTAATAACAGCTGGAGTCAAAGACTCTTAGTAAGAAAAATTATATTAAAAAAATTATATACACATATATGCAGTTAAATTCTAAAAAATAAGAAATAGATGGGCTTTTGAGTGTTTTTGACCAAGAGAGTGGTGTTTTATTTTTTTATATCAATATATATTTATTATTTTATAACACGTTTCTTGTATAGGATACTGTGCATACTTAATATATAACTAAATTGATATATACAGGAAAACTACTTGAAAGTTATCTCAGATTATGATTGGAAGCTTTTGAACAAGAAGTAACATTTATAGATACCATTGAGTTTTGTGTTAGAACATTTTTATAGTAGGGTAAAAGTGGCTGTTGACTTTTGAAATGTCAAGTTATTTACAATAATATACAAGAATCTTTTAATTAAAAAAAAAAAACAGGCTCATGCATTTAACTGATTAATTCCGTCTATTTCTAAATTACCAGCTGCTTTAATAGAAGCCGTAATTAGCTGTTACATTAGTACACTGTTAAAATATTACAAATATTACAGGTCGAAAAGTACTCAAACAGAAGAAAACCTCAGTTAACGACATGATAATGAAGCTAAATGATGAGCTAACAGGCTAAAAAATAAAGAATTAAACACGAACGCACCTGCATGATGGTTTTACGGATCTTCCACAGCCTGTATGTTTCCTCCTCATCATCCATATTTAAAAAAAAAAATGTATATGCGCAAGATTTGTTCAGAAACTGACTTGGATAATTTTTTCTCTTCTTACAATGCGACGCACATTACACGTTTGACCGACGCACACTAATGACGTCACGTACAGTTTAGGGCATAGATATCATATAAAAGCTAGATCCCGCATTGACCGCCCGTAGGGCCGCCATCTTGGAACGGTCAACCGCTCCACTCAGTATAACCTGTTTGACAGGTTTTTTTTTTTTTCAATCACCGGATTATCTCCACCACGTCTGTCAGAACGTCTGACTCTTTTTTGACGCAGGTCAACAAGTGGTTCAGTTTTTAGACGCATGCGCAAATTGGTTCTACATTACCCGTTTGGGTGGAGTAATTTAGCTGCGTGGTTTGGAGCAGACAGGAGGAGGCGCGTGGCCATACCTGCGCATCTGAAGGATCACTGCATATTTTTCAACCCGCCTGACAAAGAATCACTGTAAAACTATGAACTAAATAAAACTATAATTTTAACAAAGCTTCCTAACATCACATCAGAGCTGGTTTTGTCTTGAACTTTGTTGAATTCACATCAGGGCTGTTCCTTCGCATTTCTGCTTCCGGTCTTAAAAAAAATCTCCGCCCCTAAAAGTTCAAAGTCATGGGCAATTTTATTAAAAAACAAATGTAATTAAATTTTTTCACTATGCATAAGTTCTTGCGCTTTTGTGAACAATCTGATGTGTGAATCACTGCGGAGCAGGGAGGAGGATGACGAGGCACAGCTGACCCCAGTGTGGGATCTACTAATTAAATGAGAAATGATCCTGCACTTAACACACTTATAAATCACACATAAAGTGATTAAAAGTCAATTTGAAATACAGGTGCTGGTCATAAAATTAGAATATTGTGAAAAAGTTGATTTATTTCAGTAATTCCATTCAAAAAGTGAAACTTGTATATTATATTCATTCGTTACACACAGACTGATATATTTCAAATGTTTATTTATTTTAATGTTGATGTTTATAACTGACAATTAAGCAACTGACAAGTCAGCAAATTCAATTTGTCCTGAAGAGCTGCAGCGGCTTGCAGTCAAATTCTCTGGGGTAGGACCCTCAGACTCCCCACCCGGTCCATCAAAATATAGTCTGACATTAAACCAGTCCGTGGCGCAATAAAGGTTGGGGACCACTGCTCCAGTGTGACTGGCCATAGTGGACAAAAGAAGGACATACAGACAACCAAACGAGCCGCGCGTCATACGGTCCCGAGCGCAGGTACGTCCTTCTTTTGTCCACTATGGCCAGTCATACACTCCGCTCTCAGACTGCAGGCTTACTCGCGGTCCCTATAGTTTCCAAAAGCAGAATGGGAAAAAGATCTTCCAGTTCTCAGGCTCCTCTCTTTTGGAACCAACTTCCAGTTTCTGTCCATGAGGCTGACACATCGTCCAGTTTTAAGACTGGTTTTCTTTTTGATAAATCCTATAGTTAGGGTTGGCTTGTTATGCTGTCATAGACTTAGACTACTACAAATTGACCTAATTTCCTTAAATGATTTGCTAAAATTGAATAGTTTTCATTTGATACTATTTCTATCTTAACATTTGATTCTTGACCTGCCATTGTGTATCTGTTCCTCTCAAACCCAGCCGGTTGAAGCAGATCGTCCTGAGCCTGGTTCTGCTCAAGGCTTTTTCCTCATGAGGGAGTTTTTCCTTTCCACTGTCGCCTTCATGCTTGCTCAAGATGAGAGTTCTGTGATGGAGTTAAACTCAAAACAGTCTGCTCCTCATATAAATAGTGTTAAATTATTATTTTTATATACTGTATGAATGTTTCTGTTAACATAATTTTTATATATAAATGTTTCTGTTCAGTGCCCTGAGATGACTTCTGGTGTAACTTTGCGATTTATAAATAAACTGAATTGAATTGAAGTGGTGTTTCCCTCGTGTTCCTTACGAGCCAAGTAAGTGTTTGGTGCCACGACAGCGTGTTGTTTTAAAGTTATTTTTATTTTTCTCTCTGGGTCTCTGAGTCCTGCCTGCACCACTGGGTTCAACTCTAAAAACTACTGTTTCGTGACAATTATATGCAAAATTTAGACACTACTGGAATAAAAATGCAGTTAATTTTACAATCTACCCTTGCAGATTGATCCAAATCCATTTTTCCAAAACCCAGCCTAATTCTGCAGTTTTATCTTGTAATTGTTTTTTACTCTCTTGGTTTACACACTCCACCCAAGGCAAAATCTCAGGCAGTATGTTACTTAACTTATTTGTTAAATTATTTTCTACATCTTCAAAAATGTGGAAAGGATAAAATAAAACTAAATAAATCCTCCTAATCAAAGTAAATTAAATACATTGAAGCTAAATATTAGTGAATCATAATCATTAAATGCTAATTTAATGTGTGTGTGTGTGTGTGTGTGTGTGTGTGTGTGATTTTGTGTTTAGGAGTCGTGTGATTTTGGCCTTGCCTCATGTGTAATCAATGGACTTCAGTGCTGTAACTCCTGACAAAAAGGCTTTGGCAAAATTTAGGTGTAAATTCCCCCAAACTGAGGAAAAATCCTGAGGCTAGTGACACCAATCAGTGTTTGTGATCTCCCGCCTGTAGTTGGCGCGTCGGCCTGCAGAGGGCGCCACAGCGCCCCTGCTCAGTTCAACCAGGCAGCAGCTGGGTAGAAGCAGCGGCAAGTGCTGAGCAGGAGGAGCGGAGAGGACGCGGAGGAAACACCGCACTGATGAAGGGACCGTCGTTACTCACTGCCACACGTTCCTCCGTTTGACACAGCCAACAGCTCGTCCCTCCTGCTTTGTCCTGGAGCCTCTGTTGTGGCTCTTTCTATCGGCGGTGTTTGCTTGTTTTTATCCTCCCCGCCCTCCGGGACGGCTGAATGGAAGCAGCAGCCGAGGGAGCGGTCGGGCTGTCGCAGGCCAGGGAAGGCAGCCCGCTGTCCGTGGCCGCAGCATCCGATGATGCGGACACTGTTGTGGGGATTAGCTACGGGATGGACCCGGCAGACATGGGTAATTGTTTGACGTTTTTCCTCAACCCCTGTCACGCTCCTGTCATGTTGGTTGAATGGTGTGTGTGTTTTTATTCTGCTGCGAGCAGAAAGTCCCTGCTCATCTCTGCAGCCAAAGCTAAGCTAGCAGCTAGGTGATGGATGAGAGCTGGAGCAGGTGAAGTTCTGAACATGCAGTACCTTCACCTGCTGGGTGCATGGATGAAGGTACAACCAGCTGCAGAAATATACAGTACTCACTGAAAGAATACACGTGTACCTTTTGAATTACATAATATTTAGCAAGGATGTACATCTCTTCCATAGAATGTTTTCTTCATGTGTACATAAAAATATATAAATGCAAATTTATGCTCTGGGGTTTTGTAGGCCTTCTTTCAGTAAAATAAATACATCTCTTGGAATCTCTACCAAAAACAAACTACTTAATTTATATTTACCATTCTAATGCTTACTGAAGCCAGAAACATGCTTTTGAATAATAACCCAGCTGCTGGAGCTGATTATAATACAACCCCTTCTGTAGCAGAGTTGGGACCATGTGTGAAATGTAAACAGTAAACAAAACGTAATGATGTGCAGATTTCATGAACTCATTTTTATTCACAGTGGAACATATTGTACATATCAAATGTTTAATTTCAGAAATTGTATCATTTTTGGGAAACAATTAAACAAGATCATTTTGATGGCATGTGTAAAGTTGGGATAGGGCCTTGTTTCCCATGCAATGTGAAGCATCTTTATATCTCTCAACACCATGTACGTCTAGGAGCAGAGGAGACCAGCTGCTGGAGTTTGGAGGACTATCTTGTCCTGTTTTTGTATGACGCAGGATTCAACCTGCTCAACAGTCCTGGGTCTTTACTGGTTTTCACTTCTGAATGGGAACATATGTTCTAAAACCTGTAGTGCTTTTCTGCCTTGATAGTGCATTTTTAGTTGTGTAAATTACCCACGCCACTAACACTAATGCAACCCCATACCATCAGAGAGGCAGGCTTTTGAACCAGATGGTCTCCGTTTGTACTACGGAGGTCATGGCATCTGTGGTTCCCAAAAGAAAACATAGGTTTTGATTAATCTGTCCACAGAGCAGTTTTCTATTTTTCCGCAGTCCATTTTAAATTAGCTTTGGCCCAGAAAGAACAGCAACACTTCTGGATGTTGTTAGCTTTTTATTTGCATGATAAAGCTGTAACCAGCATTTGTGAGTGTTGACTTTCAGCCTTGTTCTTTGGGCTCAGGGATTTCTTGAAATCTTTTGATGCTATTATGTAACCTAATGACTGTGTAATTTCATTTATTTATTTTGTTTGTTGAGGAACATTATTCCAAAAGGATTCCACTATTTTTAGGCAGTTATTTGCAAACTCTGCCCGTCTTTACGTCTCTGCGATTTAGTTTCAGCCTCTAAAATGTTCTTTTTATAGCTAGTCCTCTCACTGAAATGTTGCCATTTCACCCAAAGTGTTTCAAAATGTTCATCCAGCTGTTTCTTATTTGCATCACTTATTTTTATAAGTTCTAGCCCAATTCTAAACTTTTGAGATGTTTTGATGCTATAAAATTCAAAATTACCATATGTTTATATATTTTTTATTACAATTTATCAAATATTAAAACTAATATGGTCTACTATAAAAAATATTTTTGGTTTGTGACAACTGTGAATTAAGCATTTTGTTTTTCATGTGCATGTTTACACAAAGTCTCTGACATTTGGGGAAATTGGTTGTAGAGAAGTTAGGCACTTGTCAGTTCTACATGCAACAGAACCTTGTATTATGTTTAATTTGACCAAGTTTATGTTTGGACCTGACACTCAGACCTTTTGGAAATTAAAGACCTTACCACAATCAGCACCCTGAGCAAAATGATCATTGGATGTACACGTTTACTTTACAACTCATTCACATTTGAGGCAACCCATTCAAGATGGCTGCCAAAATAAATTGATACAAAAATGCAAATCAGTCAAATATACGGATACGGAGTTAAAATTTGATGTGGCTGTAGCTGAGAGTCATCCACAACACCTACTCCGAGTGCTAACAGAAAATTTGCAGATATGTTAAAATGATACTTTCAAGGTTTGAACTAGAGCTTGACCGATATGGAAACTTCGTCTATCGCCAATACCGATATTGGGAGGGGAAAGCAACCGCCGATAACCGATATAATGGCTGAAAATATTTGAGCTTCGTCAACCCCCAAGAATCTTAAGAAAAGAGTGGAGTGGAGCGAGGCTTGTTTATTTAGTGCAGCTGTTAGCGACCATGAAGCTAAGCTAATCAGATCCACGCTAAACGTAGTCCCACTGCAGGTTTACAAGTGGTGCACTGGTCATAAAAACAGTCTTCCTAACGTGCGTTCACATTTTCTGAAATTTTTATTTTTATGAAAATGAAAAAAACAGAAAAAAATTATATCCACTATTCACCATAAAGTTTTCAAGTGTTACATAAATATAAATTAAACAAAGGAACACCCTTCACATATGGTGAAGGCTTAATTAGTATTGACCACAGCAGCGTTTATTTTTCTTTGCAGAGAAATACAGATTTCAGACAAACAATTCATTTCATTGAGGACTACAAAGATAACTTTATTAACATTGATATATATTTATCTTTACATTAGATTTCTTGTAAAAATAACAGAACTTGATTATGTTTTACAAGGCAGTAACCAATGCTAGGTTATCTAAACTTTAGTTGCCTAACTTGAGAGGCACGTAGCAAATGACAAGAAGGTTGGAGGATTGAAGAGAATTTATTATTGTTGATTTTTTTAAATTTACAGATCAGTTAAAATTAACTTACCATGCTCTGTTCAGCAAAATACACAACACAGTATTGCTCCCTGCTTCATATGTGCTGAACGTAAAAGTGAAACTTAAGTGAACGGTCATGACTTGAAAGTAGTCTGCATGCACCCTCTGCTGGATACGTTGTATAATTATGGCTGGTTCCAGCATTTTAGGCGTGAAAATTAGAAGTGCTTATATCAGCGTATAATAGGAAAATTGTCACAGATACCGATAGGTTCCCAAATGTTTGTATCGGCCTAAATTATTGACCATACTGATATATTGGTCAGGCTCTAGTTTGAACCAAATAATTTTAACTCCATCATCTTTCAACTTAAGATGACCCTAGTTTAAAACTTTGGCAGACTATGTGATGTGAATGAGTCTTGAAGACCTGCTAACCCTTTAATTCCAAAATGTTTTGTTTAGGGAAGTTCTGATTTCATATTTGAGGTGTACGGGAAGTATGATGATCTGTGTTTTTCTGCTACTGATTTGAGCAGCATCTGTTGACTTTGTGCACAGTACTTGAAACCAGTAGATGGAGGCACGCTAGTTGAGTGCCTCCTCGTGTCATGAGGTCGGTTTACAATCACTTTATTAAGAAAAAATAGCAGATTATGTTACCGTTGTAATAAGAGAAGTCTACATTTTAACTGACTGTTATGTAATTTGTTCAAGTAATGACTTGCCGTGCTTGCTTTGAGAGGAGTTTAGCACCTTCACAGGAACATGTTCCTAAAAACAGGAACATGGTAGTCTGCTGGAGGGGCGAGGTTATTGCGTAGAGGGGTAAAATGAACTCCAGGCACCTTTTGACTGCATGTGTTTTTAGCATTCTTACTGGCATGTGTCTCAGTCACCTCAGGTAAATTCACAAGTGTGCACTTGTTTCAGCTCGTGCCCCCGTTACATGCTGTGGGAAGCATTTAGATGAATAGTGTTAAACATGAGTTGCTAAGTAGAGCTCTTCTCTGCAAAATACACCCAGGCTCGGGTTTAATTCCAGCTGGAGTTCATGTGTCTGCGCTTTGTTGGCAATGTTTGGGCATAAGATGAGGAACCAACAGAAGGTTGGTGTGATTTTAGCTGCAAGTAAAAAAATTACATGTTCTGTGAAAATGCTGTTTGAATTTCATGTGATGCATGACTGCTGAAATTTACTAAATAAACTGAAAGTCAGTTCTTAAATTTAAAAAAGCAGAACACTAAATAAGAGGTGAAAAGTAGCGGGACACTAGCTAAAAGCAGCTAAAGCTAAAAGTAGCAAAAGGCTAGCCAAAAGTTAAAATAGCCAAAATAAAACTGAAAGTAAAATGTAACAAAGGCTAGCTAAAAACTAAGAGATGCAAAAGGCTACCTAAAAGCGAACGCTACAGAATTGGTGGCTAAAACCTAAAAACAGCAAAAGGCTAGTTCACTAAAAATGGGGTCCTCTGCACATCAATCTGGCAGTAGATCATGTGCCTGTAACCAGGACAACCAACCTTTAAAACAAATTAAAAAGCTGTAACTCACTGGTTATATTAGTTGACGTTAATTTAACAACAGACTAACTTTTAAATATAACTTCATCAGAGTCCAAATGAACAGAGAGACAGCAGGTAATTAAAATGTAACCTCATTAGGTAGTAGAGTACTCCCACTCTAGCGTTACTTTTCTATGTGGATCATATATGGATAGGTAATAAAAACCTTTTTTCAACTTCGTTTCAACATTTAAACTCCAACAATGTTGTAGCAGAATACACACTATAGAGCACCATGAGAAAATACATGTGAAATTTGTCATTAAAACTGTTGATTTTTTAAAAATAAAAACTGAAATATGTGAAATCAATGTATATATTTTAGTATAAAGGTATAACTAAATAGAGGGAAACAGAGGTTTACATCTCTATAATGTACAGTATACAGTATATCATTGAAGTTGTGTAAGAAATATATAAATTTACTACTTCTAGAATGAATTTTCATTATTGTTTTTTTTTTTTTTTACAATAACAGGAGTATGCTTGATCTTTTATTTCCCAAAAATAAATACAAACATATATTTTTTCATTCAACCTTTATGCAGGTTAGTCTCATTGAATCTCGAGGGGTCATTTACAACAGAAACCTGTTTTTAACAAAGTATGGTGACAACAGTAGACAGTCATAAAAGAAAGCATAGAAAATGAGAAAATAAA